GCGACGGAGCGTGATGACTGAGAGGCCTGAGTGCGTCTGCGCTTGTTGGAGGTGGGAGTGGGGCCGCTGTTGTTGGGAGTGCCATCTCCCTCTGCATTGCCTGCTAGCACGCCGGTGGAATGCGAAGCTGAGACGGACGATGGCGTGAGGGAGGCACCTGCAGACGTCGAGTTGTCGCCAGAGGGAGAGCCATGCTCGGCGTGCTTCCTGCCTTGATGACGCTTCAAGCTGTCCAGCCGACCGAACTTCTGATCGCAGTACTGGCAAGCGTGAGGTTGCTCCTTGTCGTGAACCAGCTGGTGCCTCTGAAGATGCGCTGGTTTAGCGAAAGCGGCGTCGCAGCCGGGAAAGGGGCAAGCCTTGAGATTGCTGCCACTGCCGCTGGCGCGCGGCGGCTTGGCTGCGCCAGGAGGGGAGGCGAGGGGAGCGCTGGATGGGGAGATGGGATCTTTGATCATTCTCGTAGCACCGCAATGTCCGCTGAGCGCCAAAAATCGCGAATGGAAAAATCAGAGGCGCGCGGCGGTGGGCGGTGTTCAAAGCAAAGGCGGGATGTATGCGTATGCCCTTTTGACTGACTGGTGGGTTCGGTGGTACCTGCCTGGGGGCGGGCGCACGGGATGGGATGGGATGATTGCCCGCTCTTCGGCCTCGGAAGGCGAGGCAGCAGAGCGAGGGAGCTGAGGCGAGGCGTTCGTGGGAGGCAATCACGAATCGAATGGCGGTGATCAAACGCAGTCAAGAATGCTGACCTTGAATGAGTGAATTACGAATGATGGTTTGGAAGATTGACGTACGCGCTACCCTGCAGGTGTCTGTTCAATCTGAATCATGAATCTCTCATCTCGTACCGCTGGCTGTCGTGCAATTGCCTGAATTCGGGGGCCACGAGTGGAGCGGTACTCGCAGACAGAGGCGCGATCGAGCAGCACATTCATGATTGTGAAAGCTTGCTTGCGCATGCATACGCGTCGCGTGCTCAGCGCACGGTAACTCAGCAGCGCGCACTTCTATCCGCGACCATCGCAGCTAGCTTCAAGCTCTTGCATGGCATGCATACATGCCCGAGGCCGAGGCCGAGGCCAAAGTGCCGACTTCAGAGTCA